CTCCCACCCTCTAACCCACCTCTCTAACCCAAGCTCAGGCTCAGTTTTTCTCTAGAGGGAGGAAAAGTCTAGATGCCTCAAGAAGGCCATGTGCCATCCAGAATGCTATGTAACCAAGGATGACCTTGAACTTCTTATCCTCCTGCCTCTACCTCCCAAGTACTGGGATTAAAAGCATGTACCATCACCACCTGGGTATTTTTAAAACTTTGAGATAGAGTCTTGGGCTGGATCGAGTGAAGAAAGATGCCTGCCACTAACCCTCATGACCTGAGTGTAATCCCTGAGACCCATATGGTGGAATGAGAGAACCAACTCCCATAAATTGTCCTCCGACCTCACATGTACGCCATGGGATGCTCTCCTTTCAGAAGCACACGCACCCACAGCATAAATATAATAAAAATAGTATCTGATACAGTGTCTTACTAAGTCTTCAACCCACTCGGTACTTTAATTCCTACCTCAGGCTCCCAAGTAGCCGAGATGGCAGGTCTGTGCCACCATTCCCAGTTTTTACCAATTCTTATAGTGGTACGCTGAGAATGGCCCCCACGGGCTCATAGGAGCTATGGCCTTGTTGGCGGAGATGTGGCCTTGCTGGCGGAGGTGTGGCCTTGCTGGCGGAGGTGTGGCCTTGCTGGCGGAGGTGTGGCCTTGCTGGCGGAGGTGTGGCCTTGCTGGCGGAGGTGTGGCCTTGCTGGCGGAGGTGTGGCCTTGCTGGCGGAGGTGTGGCCTTGTTGGCGGAGATGTGGCCTTGCTGGCGGAGGTGTGGCCTTGTTGGCGGAGGTGTGGCCTTGCTGGCGGAGGTGTGGCCTTGTTGGAGGAGGTGTGGCCTTGTTGGAGGAGGTGTGGCCTTGTTGGGGGAGGTGTGCCACTGGGGGGGTTGGCTTTTAGGTTCCAAAAGCCTAAGCCATTTCCAGTTAGCGTTTTTTTTTTTTTCTCTGCCTCATGCTTGTGTGTCAGTATGTAAGCTGTCAGTTACTGTTCCAGTGTTATGCCTGCCTGTACACTGCCATGCTCCTTGCCACAATGGTCATGAACTCACCCTCTGAAGCCATAAACAAGCCCCCAATAAACTCTTTCTATGGTATCTCTTCACAGCAATGGAAAAGTCAGTAAGAACTCTTTTGCAGAATTTTGTTTCTTTTGTTCTGTATTGAGGACACAGGGGCCACTCTGCTAGCACAGGCATGCCTTGGGGGGGGGGGTCTGCTGACTCCCTCAGTGATCTACCCCTCCCCCCCCAAACACATCAAACATGGGTTTGCAGCTTACAAGTGCTGGAGGACTTTTCCACATGCTTCTCTGTTAGTCTGTGAATGTGATGGAGAGGACATCATCAACCCCTTTGTACAAAGTAGGAAACTGAGGCCCACATTCAGGTGTCCCAACTTCTGGCTTGGGTTCTTTGTAAGTACTGTCCCCTCCTTCAGTGGTCAGGTCGGCCAATAAGAGTTCAGGGGTCTGGGAGCATGTGAGAAGGGATAACCTAGAGCTCAATGCACTGCCTGGGAGCAGACAAGGTTAGATCAGTTTCCCAAGAGATACCAGACTTTGTGCCCAACCACTTCCGTGACATCCCATGAGCATATTCTAACCTCTACACTCTTTTGTCTTGGTGTGCCTTTCCTTGCTCAAGGGCTAACAACTTGAGATGAGTGGACTTGAAGATTCAGAGTAGGTGGGAAATAGACAGCTGTTCCAAGGAGATCCAGAAGAGGAAGATGCCTTGGCTGTCCCACATCTAGGAATCTGGCAGTCTCTGCCAGCCTCTCCCTGAGGAGCAGGGCTGCACACTGGCTTCCTGGATCTCCCAAACCTAGGCACAGCCAAACTGCATTTTGATCTAGACTAGAGTAACAGAGTCTGGGACAGATAAGATTGTCACATAGGCTGGGAGGGGTCTTCAGGGTTCTCTAGCCTACATCCTTCATTGTGCAAAGAAGTAAATTGAGGCATAAAAAAAGAAAGAAAGAAATGAAGGAAGGAAGGAAGGAAGGAAGGAAGGAAGGAAGGAAGGAAGGAGGAAAGACTATCCAGGCCTGGAAGCTAGCCCTATGACCCACAGTTACCAATCTTTTCAAGAAGCTACAGTGTCTTCTGCCCAAAGCTAAGGATTCCTGCCTCTTCAGGATTCCATTCAGGCCATCACATTGAGAATCTCGTCTCTGTTTAACAGACAGATAACAGAAATCTGCAGGTATCTATGCCACATCTTCCCTAAAGGAGACCCACAACTCCTCCTTGTCGCCTAGCTTGTCTTTCTAGTTTGAAAAACTTGACTCTATCCCCTGGCTCTGTGTGTGTGTGTGTGTGTGTGTGTGTGTGTGTGTGTGTGTGTGTGTGGTGTGTTATCCAGGGCCTTGCATATGCTGAGGAAGTACCCCACTACCCAACTATACCTCTTCCATTTCATAATTTGAGAGAAGCAAAACCCAGCTCATTCCCTGCTTCTTTCCTCCCTTGCTTTGCTCCCCACTTACCCTGGTGCAGAAATGGGCACATACTTTGTAGAGCCTGGTGCAAAACAAAAATGTGTGTCCTTTGTCCAAATACCACTAAGAATATTATGAAGAATTTCAAGATGGCAGCAGAAGAACATTAAATCAAACATGGGGCCCTGAATGTCTGTGCATACCTGGCCTTGGTCTCTCTTGAGTGAAGCTTGAGCTAGGCATGGAGCAAGCACATGGCATTCTAGTTCTGTGTAAGTGGCAACAGCAAGATCTCATGTTCAAGGCCAGCCTAGGACTTTAGGGATCTTTCCCAAACAAACAAACAAACAAACAAACCCCACAGTTAAGAACTTAATGCACCAAGCTGGCCCTAAAAGGTCAGAATTCATTGTCCTGTCTCTACATCATATTCATTGTCAATTGCCACCAAAAAGGACCTCCTTGAAGTTGTTCACACTGCTGAGGACCTGCAGACCTCTGCTTCAGGCGCTGCTGGGAAGCCCTTCTAGCCTCAAAAAAGTCTAAATCAGATTTCTTTGGGCCTGTTTCCTCTCATTCTGTTCTTGCTGAATGTGGGGAACAGCTGGGCCCTGTGAGCAATGAATTCTTGTAGACTTGGACAAAGCCTGTAATTCCTTTTCTATGTCCTCATTGGCCTGAGGCCCTAGTGCTTTCTCCAACTCTGTATCCTCCTCCATTACCCAACCCCCAGGTTCCCTGTGCACTGCGGGAGGCTTGGCTTCACAAGAACTGCTAATGCACCAGCCAGTGTCTGGCTGAGAGGAGGGGGAGATGCCACCCCTGTCCACACCTTCTCTTCTACCTCCTAAACCTACTTCTCTCTGTTGTACTTCTCAGGCCTGCCCACAGAAACTCTCCCATCCTCACAGACACTCATCAGCCACTCAGCAGCTCTTGACCTCACCCATGATCTTCTAGATCCGCCTTCCCAAGCAGGCAGGCCTTGGACTCGGGCTACAGAGATCCCATGGGTCCTGCCCCAAAGCCCTCACTCCCACTCCTTAAGACAGAGAAATGTAGGCTAGAGAATGAGAGAGGTTGGCCAGCAGCCATAACAGGGAGGAGGAAGAGTGGGTGTGAAGATGGCCATGCAGCCAGGCTCCCAGTTCTATAGCTAACCGAGTGTGAAGATGGCCATGCAGCCAGGCTCCCAGTTCTATAGCTAACCGAGTGTGACAAAGAGGCCTCCACAACCTGGAAATGCAGATACCATAATCCCATGGTACTCCTATTGGCTGCATGACAGTTTGTTCTGATGCTATCCTTCAGTTGTGCTGGGGTTCTGGAAATCCAGGAGACTTGCTATTCAAGAAGCTGTGACAGTGTATTGGTGGGGGAGGTCAGCAAAGGAAGTGACATCAGTCTGAGCAGCTAGCCATTGTCTCCCCCAGCCTCTATTCCTGCCAGAGGCTCAGACTGAGAACTGAGATAGGCACCAGGCACCATCTTTTTCTGTTTGTAAGATGGTCCTCTGTGCACTATGCTCATTAGCACATGGGGCGGAAGCCCTGGAGAAGTAACGAGGGTCATAGCAACTATCCTGGATTCCCACTCAGTGGATGTACTTCAGAGTTGGTATGGATACTCACAGGTTAAGAATAAAACTCAAGTCCTGCCGAGGAAGGCCTCGACTTTCACCCACACTTCCAGTCTGCACAGCAGGGTCAGGAGGAAGACTGTGGTCATAGTCATCACCGCACAGAGGGAGCCCTTCTGTCCCATTCCCCAGCTGCATGTCCCAGCCTCAGGAGGCTCCATGCCCCAAGTTCTAAAGCCTATCTGGTGGTCTCCTACACCCACCCCTCAGCCCTGCATCCTTTGGTTTGTCCTCCCCTGAAGGAGAAGGCAACTGCCAAGCCCTAAGGGGCTCCGATCAGACCGACTCACAATCGACCTATCTAGACCACTCCAGATCTCTTTAGCCCTAGGATGAACATTGATGGACAGGACTGCAGAAGAGGGAAAGGAACAAATGTATTAAGGGTAAAGGGACTGGAGCTTGGAGGCAGAAAGGTTTAGGATGACTGGGGAGTCCCAAAGGGCGGAGCCAACTTTTGACCAGACCCTCCCAGCCCAAACTCAGCTCTCACAGCACGGTTCCTTAGATACCCCAGAACCTGGAGTGAGGTAGATAAGGACCTTGCGCAGGTCCCTCCCTGGTGCCCACCCCACTCCCTCCTGAGCCGGGAGTACAGGTTTCTGCCTCTCGGTGAGCTACCCTCATCCCTTCTCGGGGCCCAGAGTCTTGCCTCCTTTCCTGGAACCCACGGGATTCCAAGTCCCGGGTTCGAGGCCCGCCCCTTGGGGGCGTGTGGCTGTTGCGGCCACACTGGGGTTTGCAGCCGGCTGGAGAGCCAGGCCTTGCTGCCGGCTGGGAGGCGTGCTGGGCAATAGGAAACGGACTATTAGGAGGGAGTGGTGGAGTCGGGCCAGGCAGGAAGAAGCTAGAATAAGAAACATTTTTGCTCCAGCCCCTTCCCAGTCCCGAGAGGCCGCAGCGCCAGCGCGGATAGAGCCCTTCCCCAGCCCCAGGCCGGCTCTGAAGTGAGGCCCTGGGAGGAGAGGTGGGGTCCCGCAGCCCTGTCCAAAGGTGAGTGGAGGTCGCATTGGGCCGAGCTGGACGACCTGTCCCCGGTCTCAGTGGACCTTTCCTTCAGAGATCTCTGAGATCCGTGCGTGGAGGGGTCAGTTTTAACTGGACAAGAGAGCCAGCATTCTCCTGGCGTGGACACACAGCTGCCTGTTATGCCACCTGAGAATGGGAGGGAGCTGGACCAATCTGGAAAGGGAATGGAAAACTTTTACTCTTGCTAGGTGTCCTGAGGCCTTTAGCTTCTCTTCCCCAGTCCCAATCCATTCACTTAACTCTCTCTTCTATGCTTATCTGTGAAAATAAAATGGGCCAAAGGATTCTTCCCCCGCGGAGCTCCCATGTCCCTCCAGGGTGCTGGGGTAACCTAGGGGTGACTTAACCATGCTGTTGAAACTCCTCACAGAGCCCACGTTTTCCAGACCAGCTCTTGCTTAAGGAACTTGTCATTACAAGGCGATATCCCAAATCTTACCTCTAGTCCTAGAAGGTAGGAGAGTTCTTCTGCCATGAGTGTCCTTTACATCCAGGCTAAAGGGGAATCCTAGCTCTTCGCCGGGCTGTCAGTCTGTCCTGGAGAGGACTGCTCAGGCTGGCTGCATTCTTAGGCCTTCCTCTGTTTATGAGCAGCCTCAGTTAGAGTTAGAGTCAGGGCCAGTCCTCCCTGGCCCCTCTCCACTCCATCTGTCCTCGGGGTCTGTCCTCTCCCACCCCTCACTTCAGTTTGTCCCCCACCGATTGTCTCAGTTATCTTCTGTGTAGTGTGTGGTTTTTCTCACACAACCTATCGGATGGGAGATCACTGCATGCTGCTTGTAGGAGAGAGGCCCACTCCAAGCTTTGGTCAGTGACACCAGGAGACATCCTGGTCGGGTTGTTCTTTCTGGGACAGAGCTGGGCTCAGAGTCTCAGTTCTCCTGCCTCAGGAGGCTCCTGAGTGCTGGCGTGTGCCACCACACCTGGATACGGTTGAGCTTTTAGTAACACTAAGTGCATCTTTCCTGCCACTTAATATACTACCAAGTAACTCTTCTACACTTACCTGGGAATGGCACTCTTCTTGTGCCCATCCCATAGCCGTAGACAGTTGAGGCTGGCCTCGGTCTGAGCCTGTGTGTTGACTCCTGTACTCCGTAGGAATCTTCCCTGTTGGGTGATTTCAGTCACTTACAATCAACTATGGTGTGAAAGTAGTTCATGGGAACTTCTGGAAATAAGGGGATTTTAAAGGTTTAAATCCATCACGGTGCGAAATCTTGTGTTATCTCACTCCACCTCATCTGTCACATGAATCATCGCTTCTTCATCTTTGTATCCATGCTGTATATATTACCTACCTATTAGTTACCTAGTGGCTGTCAGGGTTACCAGGCTGACTGTGTATTTCTGTGCTTATGCTCAAGTAACCTTTATTTCACTTAACAGTGGCCCAAAGTGCAAGAGCAGTGGCGCTGGCAGTCCAGATACACCAAGGAGAAGGTAAAGGTGCTTCCTTTAAGTAGAAAGACAAAGGTCCTTGCTAAAGTGCACTATTGGGGTTGTTGTATTTTCTTATGAATGTTAATGTTTTCTGTGCTTGATATACAAATTAAACTTTAGTATAGCTATGTCATAAGTAGAGAGGAACAGGACATGCAGTTTGGCCCTGTCTGTGGTTTCATGTACCCAGTGCGGTGTGGGGATGCATTGCCTCAGGTGAGGGAGGACCATTGATTGCACTGTGCCACTTTGCAGATGCCTAAGACTCTAAAACCTAGACTTGTTCTACAATATCCCACCACTACAGAGCTAATAGAAAATGCAGGTGAATGCTGAACGGCTGGGTCTGTGAGGTCCAGTGAGGGTTAAGTGTGGAGGATAGTTGAGTTTATCACAGCACTTTTCTGCTTTGGGACAATCAGTATGGAAGAGCCCTGCTGCTCATGGAAGCTGGAAAAAGACTGACAGCCACCATCAGGCACACTCCTCTCTGGGTCTTCACCTGAGGCTCAGACACTGATGATGGACAGATAGTTTCTGGGCAAGGACAACACTGTTCAATGAGACCTGAGGAGGTACCAGTCAATGACACCAGGGGGACATATTGCTAATCTTGGGTCTCCTGAGACCCAAGATATCTTTGTCCTGGGGCTCACCTAACTCCAGACAAATAGAGGAATAGCAATGGTTGAGGAAGGACTTGCTGTTGGCTACTTATGTTTACCCAGTCATGTTCAGCCACCCCCTGTAAGAGTATTTATTGTGAGGCTCCAAAGAGACACACAGCACTAAAGCTCAGGGCCCAGCACAGATTGAGAACTCAGAGCAGTTTGCCTGCTGGTGTTTCCTGGTGTTAAAGTTAATGTTTGAAAGTCATCTAACGTTTGTGATTTCAGGCCAACAGCAGCAATGCTTCTGTCCATGGGAGATCTTTCATCCAATTTTGCTGAGGAGTAAAAGAGAGCTATAAGATGCAGATTACAGCCCCACCCCGAGCTTAACCTGAGATGGGACTCTGTTAGTGCCATCGCATTCCCAGGGCTGGACCAGGGGTGACGTCTACATTACTGCCAGCCTTTGCCTCCACTGCTGTTTAGGACTGAATCTTTTCTCCCACACCCATGCTTACCCCCACACCACAGCGTCACCAAGTCTCTGGTCTTGTGTTACTCACTTTCTTCCCACAGAGATGGGGAGGCACCTAGAAGGAACTAAGAGTCCCTTCCCTCTGTGACCATGTCCGTCCACCCAGCTATGCCCTGTGAAATGAATGAAAGCCCAGGAGACAGGTTTGGGTCTGTGCCAGACACCTTTCTCAAAGCCTGGTGCATACCCAAATGGATCAGAATTCCCTGGGGAACTGTTTACAAGTGCATGCTTTTCTTCTCTTCCTTCCTTCCTCCTCCCTCCCTCCCTCCCTCCCTACCTCCCTCCTTCCCTCCCTCCCTTCCTTCCTTTCTTTAAATCCCCTTCTTTCTTGAGTCTTGGAGTTGTGGTCTTGTTATGTAACTGAGGCTGGCCCCAGCATCTTAAGTCTTCATTTGGTAACCCCCATCCTCCAGTCTCAGCCTTCAGAGTGCTAGATCACAGGCACATTACCATTGTACCCTACCCAAAGCACATTTCTTGCTGGTCTCAGACAGACTGAATAGGAGGCTGAAATGGGTGACAGACCCAATGATCTACATAGATAACTCACTGCATAAGGTTCTGATATGTTGTAGAGAGGCAAGGGGTACATGGGAGGCAGTTAGGGAGGTGGACATTTGGTAGCATGTCCCAAAAGGATGTCTTGTTGTCAGCCATTTCTCACCTCATGGCCTCTCCTTAGCTACTTTCTGGACAGGTGAGGTCTGCCAATGATGGCTTCCTGCCCATGGCCTTGGGACATGCCCTCTGCATTCATCCCCAGGACCCCTGTAGAGTGCTTATCAGAGTCCTAACTGCTTCTAGCAGGGGCAAGAGGCAGGAGGCCAGGCAGAGGCTGGGACACAGCTACAACAGCCCAGGTTTCTATTTCCTCCCCCAGACTGGGCCTCTGGGGCAGAGGAAACCCAGGCAGGAAGGCCAGGGCTGCCACTAGCCAGAAAGGTCCACCAAGCCCTCTTGCCTGACCTAGACATCCTGCTCCCAAAGCCTCAGTGTCTTGGGGCCACGTTTAGTACCAAGATTAGGACATGGGTCTCCATAGTCTATATGTGATTGTATGTCCAGCCCTTTTCCTGTCATATCACAGGACACGTATGTCCAGCACGTCTTATAACACACCATAGGACACCTATGTCCAGCCCTTCTCCTGTCCTATCACAGGACATGTATGTCTAGCCTGTGTCATGTCTTATCACAGGATGCTCCTTGTATTGGGGATCCAGCCTGTACCACTCTGCCGTTCAGACAGTCTGAGTTTCTGTCTGACCCCTGCCCCTCTTGCTGCAGCCTCAGCACCTACCCTCTGGTCCTGAGGCTTTGAGAAGTAGAGACTGGGGCAGCTCCTAAAGCCCTCGTTGATTTGGGTCCTGAGTTCCCAACTGTCAAGCACTATAATCACTCCTCTTACCAGTGTTCACCAAACTTCTGAGGAGTCAAACCTCAGGCAACTTTGCAAGGTCAAACATTCAGTGCCCAAGTGTGTTTCACTTCCTATACCACTGGCCCTCCCCCACCCTTTCCCAGGACAAGAAGAGAGAAGGGGGCCAGATGGCTGTTAGCGGGAGACCCTTTACATCTCAGCGCTGTCAGGCTGTGTGTGGCTGCTACAAACCTGAGGATGCAGGTGGCGGCTGACCCACTGGCTCAGGACATAGAGAAGGGACAGTAGGGGAGAGGGTTCTAGACTCCTGTGTTAGACGTGGTTACTGCCAGAGGATTCTTAGGGAGCCTGGGCAGTCTCTCCTTTGGATAAGCCTTACTCCCTCCTCTAAAACCAGAGCTGGGAGGGGGACAAAGAAATGGCTAAGCAGCTAATGATGCTTGCCACATGAGCTTGGTGACCTGAGTTTGATTCCCAAAACCCATGTTAAGGTAGAAGGAGAGAACCAACTCCACAGACTTGTCCACTGACCTACACACTTGTACCTTGGCACACAGGCCCTTTAACACAAACACATAATAGCCAATGAAATTAAAAAAGTAAATAAGTAAAAATCATAAAACCGGAGCTGGGGTTGATGGTTTGTAAGGTCCCAGTTTCAGAGGTCCCTCTAGACCCTGTCCTTCTTCCAGCCCGCCCTGGGCTCCCTGCTATGCGTGACTCCAGCCAGTCCTATCCAGACCTCAATCTAAACAATCTTGATTCCTGTTGCCGGCCTGGCGGGACCCTGAATGGCAGGAAGTGAAGACAGGAGCCTGTTTATGTTTGAAGCAGCCAGGCATGGGGGTGGAGGGGCACTGGGAAAGGGTGGGCAGGGGTGGAGGCTGGAGGGGTTGGCAAATGGCAGAGGACAGAGGGAGCTAGGAAAGACATTTCTTTCCACTGTAGCTGTGCCTTCTGCAGCGCCCTCCTCCTGTCTGAACCCAGCAGTGGGGTACAGAGCTGGGGTCCCTTTGGCTCTCATCCTTTACACAGGGCTCTTCACCCTTCACCCCCAACAGATGGTTTCCATGGGGAAGTGAAGCAGGACTTCCCTTGCAGGCCCCACCCTAAATCCTGACGTAGGAGTGAGGAGGTGGCTTCCCTGCCTCCCCCAAAAACCTCGCAGTGATTTCCTCCTGGTAGGAGGGGACCTTGGCTACGACAGCTGTCACATTTTGCAGATCTCACGGCATCTCTTCTCCTATCTCTAGTGACCATGACCTCCGAGATCCCCAGAAAGGGCCTTCTGATGCTGCTGGTGGCCTTGGGCCTAACCAAGGGTGAGTATAGGAGGAGCAGCGTGGAAACAGGGACCTGAATGGAGGAAGGCTGTCTGGGCTCAGCTCAGCTTCTACTGGGGCTGGATCTGAGGACCTGAGAACATGAGCCGGGCTTGAGGGTAGACAGTAGACTCCTAGAGACTAGTTCCCTAGCTGCTCCGACCCTCCTTTCTAACTTCTTGATACTGACTTGCAGGATAGAATCTACATTTTGGGTGGAAGAGGTAGGGGTGTGAACACAGGGAGCCCTGGACCAAGGCAGGACCGGTAGTAGGAGAGGAGGTCCCAGCACAGGCAGTAGGCCGAAGCTGGTTTCTCCCAGTCTCTACTACCTGTGTAGCTAGGGGTAAGGATCTGAGGGAAGGACAGTAAGGGGATGGAATTAAAGGACAGAGCCTTGAGGGGTTTGTCTCAAGAAGGATGGAACAGTAGGAGGAAGTGGCTAGCCTCCTCTGAGTGCCTGAATTTCTCATATGTCTCCCAGGAGGTGTGGTGAAGGCCTCCAGGGGTCAGCTGGTGAACTGCACTTGTGAGAGCCCACACTGCAAGAAGCCAACCTGCCAGGGGGCATGGTGCACAGTGGTGCTGGTTCATGAACAGGGCGGGCAACCCCAGGTCTATCGGGACTGTGGGAATATGAACCAGGAACTCTGCTTGGGACGCCCCACAGAGTTTGTGAACTATCACTGCTGCTATCGATCCTTCTGCAACCACAATGTGTCCCTGGTGCTTGAGGGTATGTCCAGTGGCTCTTCCACTTTCCCCTGATCTTTGTAGATCCTGCCCACTCTGCCCCATGTTCTCCTCACCCCCTGGCCCAAACAGAGAGGGTGTGGGTGTGTGGGGGGGGCGGGATGCTGGGATCTAACTGTCAGAGTGGTTTGGCTCAGGGTCAGGAGAGCAGGCCTGGTGGAGCTGGGACTCAATGTCCCCCTTCCCCCAGCCACACATACTCCTCCTGGAGTAGATGACCAGCTGCATCTGATCTTGGGCTCCGTGCTGGCCTTGCTGGTCCTGCTGGTCTTGGGTGCTCTGGGCTTGTGGCGTGTCCGTCGAAGGCAGGAGAAGCATCGGGGTCTGCATAGTGACCTGGGCGAGTCCAGCCTCATCCTGAAGGCATCCGAACAGGGAGACAGCATGCTGGGGGTACGGGCCTGGAGACTACCTGGGACCCAGGGTGGAGGGTGGAGTAACAGTATCAGGGGGTCACCCAAAGATGACAAGTGGGGGGGGGAACAACAGTGGGGCAGTGGTAGACAAGGGAGAAGGGAGCTGTGGCTGACGGGCCAGCCATGAAGTGCCCACTTGGTGTCCCTAGGACTTCCTGGACAGCGACTGCACCACCGGCAGTGGCTCTGGACTCCCCTTCCTGGTGCAGAGGACAGTAGCCCGGCAGGTTGCACTGGTGGAGTGTGTGGGTAAGCAGTGAGAGAGCCAGGGATGGGGACCAAAGGTCCAGCCTGGGCCAGAATACGTAATTCCATTGGGCAGAGAGTGGGTTGGTTATGGGCCAAGGTTAGGTCCTTTTGCAAGCATAGTTATAAGACGATAAGCTAAGGGTAGCCCCAAACTAGGGCAGGGTATGGATTAAGATATGTATAAATTCGGGTTTGGGGAGAGCAAGATGACTGAGAAGGTGAAGGCACGTGCTGCCAAGTCCAATGACCTAAATCCAATCCCTGGTGGGTACTTTGTGAAAACATAGAACTGTCTCCCACAGTCATCCTTTGACTTCCGTATGTGATCCTAGTCAGTGTGCATTACACACATGCACACATACAAATAAATACAAGTAATTAAAAAATTAAAAGTCGAATGTGGTGGTTCATGCCTTTAATCCCAGCACTCAGGAGGCAAAGGCAGATAGATTTCTGTGAGTTCAAGGCCAGACTGGTCTATATGGCAAGTTTCAAGTTGGCCAATGACACACCTTGTCTTAAGAAAAGTAAAAAAATAAAAATAAAGTCAGGGTTGCAGAAGAGGTCTTCATAGCATCCAGAGTTGGGATGGGATTTCTAGGACTGTGTGTGTATCTAGTGTGTGACCCTTGCTCTTCCCTCCGCCACTGAATTAGGAAAGGGCCGATATGGCGAGGTGTGGCGTGGTTCGTGGCACGGCGAGAGTGTGGCGGTCAAGATTTTCTCCTCACGAGATGAACAGTCCTGGTTCCGGGAGACAGAGATCTACAACACAGTTTTGCTTAGGCACGACAACATTCTAGGCAAGGAGGGGACATGTCTGCTATCTCAGGCCTAGGCGTCCCAAGCCCCTTATCTCAGGGCCGGAATACACAGAACTCTGGGCATTGGTCTAACCCCGAGTGGTTCCCAGATCCTCTTTAGCCTTAACCTCTGACTCCAGCCACATCATCAGTCCCTGCCCCATCCCCTCTGAGCCCCTCAGCCCTAGGTTTCCCTCAGCCACTCCTTCCTCCTCGGTGCTTTGACTGAATTCCTTTTACCTATAGGCTTCATCGCCTCCGACATGACCTCGCGCAACTCAAGCACGCAGCTGTGGCTCATCACCCACTACCATGAACACGGCTCCCTCTACGACTTCCTGCAGAGGCAGACGCTTGAACCCCAGTTGGCCCTGAGGCTAGCTGTGTCTGCGGCCTGTGGCCTGGCACACCTGCATGTAGAGATCTTTGGCACTCAAGGCAAACCAGCCATCGCCCACCGTGACCTCAAGAGCCGCAACGTGCTGGTCAAGAGCAACTTGCAATGTTGCATTGCAGACCTGGGTGAGCAGGAGGGGAGAGGGTGGGGCTCCACAGGTGGGTGGGGCTTGTGTGCTCAGCTCTGCCTGTTTCTGTAGGGGAGAGAATTGGAGCTTTAAACCCTGTTTCCAAACTGGAAGAGGCAGATGGATCTCTGGGTTAGAGGAAATACAGAGTGAGTTCCTGTACAGCCAGGGCTACATAGAAGACCTTATCTCATAACAAATAAATTGTTTCCAGCCTAGACTCCTCCACCATTCACTCTACTTCCAGAAAAGGGACAGGAAGGTAGAAACCTGTGTCTTACCCTGGCTTCTAAAAGAACACAGCTCCTAACCCACCTCCAAGTTCTGCTATGTAAAATGGGCATCATAATGCTTACTTTGCCTTTTGGGTTCTTGGGAACCCTGAGAATGCTGTTGCTGTAAAGCAGACTACATGGGACAGATGTTCTCCCTCTGCTCTCTGTCTGTAACCCAAGCCCTCTGAGGCAGGTCTCCCTTACTCTGCTCTTCTGTGTCTGTCTGTTTCTATCCTCACTGCATCTGTTTCTAGCCTGGGTTTCCCAATATGGGAGTGGCAGTCCTCTATGGGAGTCCTAGTGGACTGACAAGTCAAATACCCACAGGACTGGCTGTGATGCATTCCCAGAGTAGTGATTACCTGGACATTGGCAACAACCCCCGAGTGGGTACCAAGAGGTACATGGCACCTGAGGTGCTGGATGAACAGATCCGAACAGACTGCTTTGAGTCGTACAAGTGGACAGACGTGTGGGCCTTTGGCTTAGTGCTGTGGGAGATCGCCCGGAGGACCATCATTAACGGTGAGGGCCTACCATATGCAGGGTGTGTGTGTGTGTTAGAGACTGTGTGTGTAGTGCCTGCGACCTGAGGGTTTGAGACTACCAGCATTCCTTCACTGCTATGTATCAACTAGTTCAACACAGATGGACTTTAAGGTTCATCTGGTCCTGTGAAGGTGTGGATCTGGCCTTGAAGTCTTCAGTTAGAAACAAACAAAACCCCCATAAATATCAGAGCTGGGGCTATGGTTCAGTGGTAGGATTTTTGCCTAGCATGTTCAAGGCCATGGGTTTCAATACTGAGCATGGGTTGAGGTGGGGCAGGGAAGCAGTTAGTCTAGCATTTATTGAGCTTAACTATGTGCCGTAACAGATACTCTGAAGGTATTGTCTTATTGAAGTCCCCTGTTTGGTATGAGGTGGTGTTGGTCAGTCGGATTGCCTGGATTCGGTTTCAGGTTTTGTAATGACAGTGAGCACTTTAGCCTCTCTGTATCTGCTTCCTCATTTGTGAAATTAGAATTAAAAAAATAACTGTAATCACAGAGATGAATACAATATTCTAGAACAATAGCTAGAAGCTGGGCTTAGTGACTCACACTTGTAATCTCAGTACTTAGGAGGCAGAAGAACTGCTCCAAGTTCAAGGCCAGCCTGGTCCATATAAATGGTGAATTTTAGATCAGCCAGGCCTACAAAGAGAGACCCTGCCTCCATCCCCCCACAAAGAATGAAAGAATCAAAAAAAGAAAACAGTGCCTAGAGCTAAATATTAGTGGTCATCGTGAAAAAGTGCCTACATAGTATTTCATTTTATAAAAGAAGGGTTTAGGAGTCAGGTTTGTAGCTGGCTAGAGGTAGCATCAGGTCTTAAGCCAGGCCACCTGATTCTGGGCCAGTACCTTCTGTCACTGTGGCGATTACATGTTGACCCTTGATTCCTTGATTTCTTTGTTCACATGTAAGCTATCTGGTATCTAGGCTGCCTGCCTACTGCAGCCTCCTTATTCCAGTTGATTGCCATGGGAGACCCTAACTTGGGAAGGCATTTGCCTGCCCTGTGCTGCCCTGTGCAGCCCTGGGATTGATGGCCTCTCAGTCCTGGGGTAGATGGAAGACTACAGGTTGACTGGACAGCTAGCTGCTGTAGTGTTAGCTTTCGTAGAGGTTGTCTATGACTAGGGTTGCCAGGAGTCCTGAAAGTTCAGGAAGAGACTTGAACCCTGCTCCTTGGGAGCAGAGATGCCCTAGTTTCCCAAACATCTACCAGGAGCCAGCCCTTTGCAACTTCATTGTTCTTCAGTCATCATCTGTTGACAGCAGAGACCCAGGTGTTTCCAGTCTCTCCTAGAGTCTCCCAGGGGTTCCGATCCCTGGGCATGAACCTCTAGAGCCAGCTCTGTGAGGCTAGAGCTGGGGCACCTAGATGAAATCAAAGAACTCTTGGGCCTGGCTGCAGGCAGGAAAGGAAGGGCTGATGGATTGGCCTTGGGCTTCTGGGGCAGAGGGGAAGCTCTGTCAGCCCCACACAGACTCCAAGCGCATTATAAACACTGTAATCTGGTGTCAGCCCCGGCACTGATTAAAGGCTCATTAGACACGCTCAGGCCTCTGCAAATCGCTGATTAGGGCGCCAGCGGCACAGGGGCGGCCTGGAAGCCCGCCATGGGGAGAACAGCTGGTGAAGGCTTCATTGAAGTTGTGGCCTACATGGTCACAAAAGCAGCCTAGGGTTGGGAAGCAGGAAGAGGCAGGGGACCGCCTCTCACCCCTGAGGCACACCTTTCAGCAAGGCTCCTATTTAAGCCCACAGGAACACTGCTGGTAGTGGCATCTGCAGAGGCATGAGCCTTCCCTGATGGTGAGTGGATATTAGATGGACCAGGGGATAGATCATTTCTTCTTAGGAGAGGTAGCTTTTCTGTCCTTTATCCCTGTTCCAGTCCTACCTTAGATGCAGCTAAGAGGTCAGAAGCACAGGATCTGGTGTTGGATATTGGCCTTACATCCCACCTCTGTCACTCAATACCTGCCCATCCTTAGAGATAAGCCACTGTCTTTAGAGCTACTGTTCTGGTTAACAAAGTGGAGTTACAGTGTTACAGTTCCCATAGGCTGATGTGAGGATCCTATGCAGAGCAACAAGGGCCCTGCTTAGCACACAGGATGTGCTCTGGAACACTAGTTCTTAGTGTAGTCAAGGAGTAGTACCCAGCCTAGGAAACTATCAAGATGGATTTAAGTCCTGAGTCTTCTCTGACTGACTAGCTAGGCAACCTGAGTGTGGTACTTCTTAACCTAAGTCTCTTCAGCCATGACACATTTGGTATGCTACTCACAATACGGAGCTACCATGAGGACTAAAGGGAACACATATAATGTGCTTATTAAGGCAAACACAACCTGGGAAGTACAAAATACACAGTAATTCTGTGGTGTGCGTATAGTTGTTATGTTATAGGATAGGATCCCTCTAGAGAGCAATATGGTCAGATAGTCAGACAGCTAGCTCCAGGTCCCTTGGGACAGAGCCCAGGCAAAGTTGTCCTCTGGATGCTCTTTGGTCTCCTTAAGTCCCAAGTAAATGCCCTATCCCACTTGAATCCCCAGGCATTGTGGAGGATTACAGGCCACCCTTCTATGATATGGTACCTAATGACCCCAGCTTTGAAGACATGAAAAAGGTGGTGTGCATTGACCAGCAGACCCCCACCATTCCTAACCGGCTGGCTGCAGATCCGGTAAGGCCTCTGCTGGGGCTGGGCTGGGTTGGGCTAGGCTGGGCTGGCATGGGTGGAGGTTGATTCTCAGCTGGGATTTCTGGGTTCAGGATCTTGACTCTGTAGCCTGTGCTTCTTGGATAGACCTTGGGTGTGTTGGGTGTTTTCCCTCATGTACCTGGTTTGTGGATACCTCACCCTTCTTGAACCTTCTAACCAACCTAGGATTTTTTAGAGCCTCTTACCTTACCTGTGAGAATCAGGGGGTCTCTGCTAAATTCCCCCTAACAGGTTTTTGTTGTTGATTTTGATTTTATTTTTCAAGACATTCCACACTTACACAAAGCAATACATGTATAGATAAAAACACATATTACACATACATATATATAATATAATATAATATAATATAATATAAATGCTTCTAAACACTCACTCTCGACATGTATACATATGTAGGCAGACTCTTGGCACCATGAGGGCAAATTTTCTGTTTTTTAGCTTTCTTTGTTTTTGAGACAGTAGTCTTACTATGTAGCCCTTTAAAAAATCACTTTAAGAGCTGGGTGTAGGGCTGGAGAGATGGCTCAGAGGTTAAGAGCACTAACTGACCTTCCTTCCAGAGGTTTTGAGTTCAATTCCCAGCAACCACATGGTCGCTCTCAACCATCTATAATGAGATCTGGTGCCCTCTTCTGGTGTGCAGGCACACATGCAGACAGAACACTGTTCATAATAAATAAATAAGTCTTAAAATAAAAATAGCTGGATGTGGCAGCACAGGCTTTAATTCCAGCACTCAGGAGGCAGAGGCAGGCAGATCTGCAGAGTTCGAGGCCAGCCTGTTCTACAGAGTGAATTCTAGGACAGCCAGGATGACATAGACAAGCCCTGTCTCAGAAAACAAACAAAACCCCAAAATAAATTTCTTCTTTCAATTTCATAAAAACATAATGTATTTTGATGATACCCACCTCACTATCCTCTCTTACTGCCCCTACTCAACTCCTCCTGCTTTTCATGAAGTCCCCTCTTCTCACTCTGACATTCCCACCAGCTACTTTAGTATCTGGCAGACACTAAAACTCAATGCCTTTTTACTGAAAGATAATGAATATGTGCATGTACACATGAGAGGCCACGTAGATGCATTCCTGAACACACATATACTCACTCGTAGGAACCAGAGGAGTCAGGCTGCCATATCCAAGGGCCACTGAGATTCTTGGTATAGGCTTCTTTCTGGACACAGGCACTTTTGGGGCAATGCCCACCATTGCCACACTCTTAGTCACAGTACCCTGTGTACCAGGTCTCAGGCTCCAAAAGGCAACACAGGCTTGCAGAAATACCCTTCACAGTGGATCCCGCAAGGGGCGGGGATAGAGCCGGGGCTGCTTGGAGGTTGTTCACCAGGTGGGCTCTGGAAGCCCCACACCCTCCACAGTCTCCCCTGTTGGCGTTCTGCCACCATCGTTCTCACTCTGTTTTTTCTCCTTCCATTTATCCTTCCCTCCTCACCCTTCCCTTCTCCCCTGTCTTCTCTTGCTTGCCTTGCCTTTTCCCCCCTGGCCAATACTCCCATGTCCTCTCCTTTTTCCTTTTATGTCTCCCATCCTGAGCCATTGCCTCCTTACCCTGTGCCTCTCTTCATCCTCCTGACCAATATACCTCTTCCTCTGCCTGTCTCTCAACACCCTAGGTCCTCTCCGGGCTGGCCCAGATGATGCGGGAGTGCTGGTACCCCAACCCATCTGCTCGCCTCACTGCGCTGCGAATCAAGAAGACATTACAGAAGCTCAGCCACAGCCCAGAGAAACCCAAAGTGATTCACTAGCCTAGGGCCACTGGACTTCCTCTTCCTGAAGTGTGTGGTGGGGCAGAAGATGTATACCCTATCTGGGTAGAGATAGTGTGAGTGCGTACGCTGCCCTGTGTGTGCCTGCCCAGCTTGGCCCCCAGCCCATCCAGCCAAAAATACAGCTGGACTGAAATTCCATCTGCCTCCGTCTAGCCTGCTCAAAGTGGCCGGCTCTCTGACGCCTGGCTAGGCTCCTTGTTCCCAAGGCCAGCGGGGTACACCCCTACCACTCCCAGGGCAAGGTAGCCAAGCCAGGGAATCCCGTGCCTGAATCCTGGGCTTGCAGTCTCCCCTACCCTTGGTCAACCTTACCACCCCACGGGAGCTGCCAGGATGGCATGGGGCCCTGTCCAGCTTCAGCAGACACTCTATCCTGCCAGGGCTCAATGGAAGATGTGCAGCAGCCTCAGTTCCTCACTGTGGATTTTTATCACTTCAATGATGTCTTTTGGCCTTCCTGCCTAGACCCTGGCTAGTGAATGCCAGTCTCTCTGGAGAGGTGGTGTCTGATCCTGCCACCCTCCATCCCCTTACCATGCTAGCTGGCTTGTGAGGGTATCAAAACCCAAGGGCCCTCTCAGTAAAAGGAAGGTGGAGCATGGTGGAGGAGAGCCGGCGAAGGGACTTGGCTATCTCAGGATCTTAGATTTGTCCCTGGTGTTTTGAGGCCTTTCTGACACTCAGCCTGTGTGAAAGCTCAGGTCATCACTCTTGTCAACTGCTCCCATCCTCCTCCCTGGTTGTTTGCATCAAGCTGCGGTTTGTTATAACTCTGAGTCCAGCACAGCTGAAAAAGTGCCTCCTGGTCCACTCTCCAAATCCCTGTTCTTTTCTGAAACTGTCTTAGTGGCCACCCAAGGACTCAGGCAGCACTGGGCCCTCTGACTCCCTCTGTGGCCTGTCCTTCTTTGTCCCAAGGTTCAGGGGTGGCCTCATCTGAGCTCTTTAAGACTTCAATGAAATTTCAGTTCTGTCAAGAAGCCTCCAGCTACCAGGGTTCTGCTGCCTCATGGCCTTGACTTTGGCCAAAGCCCACACCTAGGCTAGGCTCCAGAATGTGTGCCTCAGGAGATGTGAAGGGTGCATACCCATGTGCTGAACAAGCGAAACTGAAGCCTGGGTGGACAGACTGAAGAGGAGTGGGTTGTACGTGAGGCTTAAGGAGGGCAGGGTGGGGCTCAGGCAAGAGACAAGTTCATCCTGGATCTTAGGAAGACCTGGCCCAGAGACCCGTGGCTATTGCAGGGAGAGCCGGTCCTGCTACACACACACACACACACACACACACACACACACACACACACACACACGCCCATTGGGTGCCTCCGTGGTGTGTCCTGTCACTGCTCTTTCTCAAGCTTTTCTTTCAGCATTGTACAAGGACCAAGGAGAACCAGGAAGTGAAACTAGATGAAAATAGAAAGTAGACCCACGATTCCCAGACTAGTGGGGCCAAGTCTGATCATTCTGGGAATCGTCCTGCCTGAACTGGATTTGGGAACAAGCAGCTCCACCAGAGCTAGGAAATCCTAAGTAGAGAGTATCTGAGTGATGGGGTTGAGAGACAGGGGAATGGCAAGGGAAGAGGCTCTCTAGAGACAACTAACTCCAAATGCTTCTAAGTGCAGGTGTGTGAATGGAACCTACTTTTCTGTACTTAGAGATACCATTTATGGGAGCACTTAACCAGTGACACGCATCTAGTAGGTTCTCAATAAAACATAGTTGCCCCCTGAATTTCTGCTACGTCGTCTAAGGCTAGTAGTACCTCCGCAATGGTCCAGTCAAAGAGGTCTCGAGAGGACCGGAGGGTCCGGGAAGTAGAGGATCCCAAAGCACAATCACCAAGTTACCCTTGGACAAGATTGCTCTTGACCGCTCCCTTGCCTAGAACCACACTGAGACTCAAACTTGAGATCCCACCCATGGTAAGGAGCAACCTGATTCACACCAGTCACGTCGCCCTCTGCTGGCCAACATGCTGCCCAAGGCCGCCCAGCTTCCCTAGCAGAGCCAGCTGGCTCCTCCCAGCCGGTTCTGGCCCTCCTCCCTATCTCCACTGCAGCATGCTTGGGAGCTTGCTCTCAGCTGTTCTCATAGAGACTGTGCCTGGAAGCCACACCTAGCAAAGGAGAGTTTGCATTTACTCAGAGGTGGCTTCACCCTCCCTGTTCGGTTCCTTCATAATTCCCTCCTCAGATGCTCTCCACCTCTGCAATCAGTCCACACCTCCAGAATGAAAAGTGCCCCTTACCTGGAAACCTATCCAGCTCAGATAGCACCTCATGCACCCTCCTGCCCCACCCGGGAAATTGTGAGCCACAAGCCACTGGGGGAGTGGGATAGAAAATAGAAGACAGGTGCTCAAGGAACTTTTTGATACTGTCCAGCCCAGAAACACAAACTTCTAACAAGAGGGTGTTGAACCTGTCTTAGGAAAACAGGAAGAGCACCCCAGTTCCTTCTGTGATTGACAATTTTTGTACTCCCGGTGCCTCTAAGTGGGCTTAAACCTGCAGCCTTCTGCACTGGGAGCATGAACCTCCTCCATGGCACACACACCAGGCAAGACCTTCCCAGAGGACTCTGGAGTAAGCCCTAGATGATGGAAATGCTAAAAGCGTTCCTAGGCTCCCACCTTTCCTTCCACGGGCACAGGGATGGTCACAGTATGCTTGAAGACTGGGAAAATGACAGTGGGAAAACGGCCGTGCAGGATTTCCAGTAGGCTGGTCAGGATCTGGCAGGACCAACCCTTCACCATGCAGTTGGAAGAGTTCTTGAGAGGTCACTGTGGCCCACACGCTTGGGCACATGCACATCCCCTTTACTGCCTTGGAAAAAAGAGAACCCATACGTCCCCTTTGCCCTGACTTCCTCGGGAAACCCCAGCCTCCAACTTCCTTATTACATATAAAAATTGAGGGTGCCACAGCATGCCGAATGGAGTGAAGGTGGCCCCTGCAGCATAGCCCTGATACTGAGGCTCAACTCTAACTCTGCCAAGGCCTATTGGTACCCAGGCCTTCATAGACAGTTCTTTTCTTCACAGGCTCCGCCCTCCACAGTTCTGCCTCATGCCAGCAGGTAAGGAAGGTGCCCTGCTTCCTCAGGCTTACCCTTCACAGTAAATCAACAGCCCAAAGCTAGGTGTAGGTGGTGCACACTTGCAATTCTAACCCTTGAGAGGTGGAGGCAGGAAGATCAGGATTTCAAGATCATCCTCAACTACAAAAATGATTTCAAAGGCCAGCCAGGGCTACAAAAGAACAAAGAAATGATTAGCAATCCAAGAGATAGCAAAATCTGCATGCTTTGAAAGCCCACCCTAAGGTAGGATGGGGGTGCCCAGTTCAGTGTCCCAGGGCTGCGTCTGATGGTGGCTCTGGGTGGACGACTTTTGAAACAAGCTCCCCCCACCAGGGCCTTATTCAATTTGCTAGAAATAGAGACAGAGGGCTTCTTGACTTTGCATACAATTTGCATAATGTCATAGACACACTGTCTATTTTCAGGCAGTTTCCAGGTTCAAGTGTTGCCACCGCTGCCCTGAGGGGTGTCATGTTGAGATGAGTCTCTTTTCTGTTCTTTCTCACCCACCCACTCTTATTGACCTACATCCTGACTGGAGGAGCATATGGGGGAAGGGATGCTGTCCAGGGAGACACAGCAATGAGAAGTCAGCACCCTTATCACCTCCATCACCCACAGCCCGGCCGATTGCTCAAGGGCAACTGACAGCAGTGAATGAGGTAGAGGATTCAGATAATCCAGCTGCTCTCCTGCCTCTGCTACAGAACTGCCAGCCTGAATGTTCAGACAGTTTGGAAGGAGGAGGAGGAAGACAGCTAGATAGAGAAATGGATTAACCTGGGCTTGAGCCACCCAGAAAGTCTTGCTTGCTCCCAGATAATCATGTTAGGGCAACAAATGTAGCCCTCAGTCAGCCACTCTCCTGGAAGACCCCTCCAAGCCACCAGAGTCCTGATTTGATGATTTTTGTTTTTTAAGACAGAGTTTAGAAGTTAGACTGTTCTCCCCATAGTGACCAGGTTGGCCTCAAACTCTGCACCCTCCTTCCTCAACTCCCCAAGTACTGAGATTACCAGCATGTGTCACCACAACAAGTGGTGGACAGTATCTCTTAAGCATCTGATGGATAGAAAGAAGTCAGTCTGAGCCGGGCATTGGTGCAGCACACCTTTAATCCTAGCACTCTGGAGGCGAAGGCAGGCAGATCTCTGTGAGTTCAAGGCCAGCTAGTCTACGGAGGGAGTTCTAGAACAGGCTCCAAAGCAAAAACAGAGAAACCTGTCTCAAAAAAAAAAAAAAAAAGATGGTCTGCACTACAGTCCTCTCCTCCCCTCCAGCAGCAGTCTATGCCTATGCCGAGTGCCTGCCTGGGCCATGGCTATACCTGTCCTGTGACTGTGCCTGTCCTATGGCTGTGACCTTCATTAGCACCAGCCTCAGAGCTCAGAGCAAACACCCAAAAGGGCTGATTGGGATAACTGTCACCAAGCTGCTTATGACCTTGGCTGGTACTTGGCCTCTCCTCTGGGAAGGAGGGGGACTGATAGAGATTAAGACAGGACAATTCTCACTTTATTGTGACCTGTCTTTGGTCATTGGAGCTCCCTCCTGCAGACACTCTAGCCTGGGGTCCCTATTGCTGCCTTCACTGGATGCCAGGGCAATGAGTCTGGATCCTGGAAATCCCAAGGCAACTCAGCCAGGCAGACCAGCAGCAAGGCACTACCCAGAATTCCCAGTCTCTGGCATCTAATCCCCCTGGACCTGCCTCATCCCTTCAGGCAGGCGTTTCCTGTTGATAAGAAGCTCAGTTGCAAACACTGATAAAGAGATGAAAAAGGAAATTGACAGGCCAGGGTATAACGGGTATTTGGTTTGCCTTTTCTACCCCTCTGCCCTCCCCCTCCAACTGCTTCCCAGAACCAAGCAGAAAACAGGCCCCCCACCTCCACACTGGACCTTACTCTGGAGGTTCCAGGAATTTGGCTTGAAGACTTACATAGTTCTCAGAAGCCGGCCCTGGCACAGCCTGTCCCGGGAGGGGAGCTTAGGAGGCAGGAAGCACTAGGTGCTGAGTCCCCAAGTCCCGGGACAAGGGCAGAGGT